ATTTAATGTTTGGTTTATATATTTTAAGGTGCATGGGAGAGTTTTAAAAGATTTGTAAAGAATAAAGCACGAGTTAAAGTTCCATATGTGCGCAACACTTGGCTCGTGAAATTTTGCATTTCACTTTATATTATTTTGAGGCGGCGTGTTGCCATCTAGAAGGAGACTGCCTCAAAATGATGATAGTGGTGTGTACGCAGTGGTCTCCCAACGCTCTCATTTTTTAATCAACCTTATCATAGTTCTGGAGTTTGTGCAAATAGATATCTGTCAAAACAAGAGATGTATTCTACAACTTTGCACGGTCTTCTAAATTGCAATGAAGTACAACCATTCATTGAGTAAGTTTTACTTCAATATTATTCAAGTTATTTTTATAACATTTATAGGTTGATTAAATAATGTAGTGTTGTTTATTGTTTTATTGTAGTTTTTTTTTTTACATTTGAATGATATAAGTCAAGAAATGCTGGGTCACGGATTCAAAATGAATTTTCGCCTAGTTTAAGGCTTACGTAAGTATATCAATTACACATGAAGTTATGGTATTATTATTTTTATGTAGTTAACTTTCTCAATATATTATAAATAGGTACACGATCTTGCCAATGTGTCACAAATCTGCACTTACGTGATTTAGCATTGGGGCCAAATTTAAGTGTGAGATCGTACCACAAGTATTTTGTAAATGGTTATAAGTTTCCACACAGATGAAATATTCCTGAGCAAGGAAAACTGTTAATAGTGGTGTATGTGTAAAAGGTGTTAACAGTATGGGAGAAATTGAATATTGTGGTATCCTTCGGAAAGTTATAGAATTGGAACATCCACGCGAACCTATAAATAGGGTTGTTTTGTTTTTGTGTAAATGGTTTATCCAAGAAAATCTTGTGGTATAAAAGAGTTTATTCCCTTCATAACATTGTTGAGGTTAATTGCAGTAAGGAATATAATTAATATGATTCGTTCATCATTGCTCAAAATGCTAGACAAGTTTATTATATTCCTTATCCAGCCATTCGAAGGGACAAAGGCCCATTGGTGGGTGGTATGAAAACAAAACCAACTGGGCGAATAGAAATTGAGAATGTAAGTGCTAAATAAATTTATCAAAAATGGTCTATATCTCATATAATGCTTGTAATTGATGTTGATCCATTAGATGTATTGCGTCATGAAGCAGGATTATACGGCAAAGATTGATCCAGGACAGTTGGATCAAGAACGACTGACAGAAGATGATCAACACTAAAATGAAGATGGGAGGAAGAATTTTATTGAATACAATGATGACACTGAACCATTAGGAATTATGAGGAAGAAGAAGAGGAGGATGAGAGGTGGCGAATGAGATGATCAAGGTGTTCAGATTGAATTGTTGTTTTTTTTTTTGTAAGTTTTCTGACAATGTATTTTCTACTATATTTTTGAGTTATTAATATGTTTTCTTTTCATTGTATAATAATTTAGTTTCTTTTCTTAATTTTGGAACTATAGAGGTTATTAAAAAACAAATTTACATATCAATTTAAAAAATATTACATATTAATTTAAAATAAGTTAAGTAATACTTCATTCTATCTTATGTACTTTTAAGAAAAAAAATTATATTTATATATATCTATCAATGTAGATGGATTTCGAGCGTAGACCCAATAAGGGTAAGGGGATAGATATTGGCCGCTCGAAAAAGTGGCGCGATCCTCCTGTACAAGACCCATCAGGCCCCTTACCACCAGTTATTATTAAGGAGCCCATGATCCTACCCGTGCCTATTATGATTACAGGGCTCCACATTTTCAGTACATGTCATGACCTGCTCAGTTCATGCCTACTCCCGGATACGTGGCGAGTCCATCAACTGCTGGAAGCCCTGTTTCACTAGCGTCTACCTGCAGCGCAGCTACCTCTACTGATAGCACTTCTCCTTCGATCCCTATACCAGATTCTTCTCCATCCGATCCTGCTTCAGTCGGATCATCTAGCACATGGTGTAGCAGTTCCTAGGAAGATGCTAATCAGGCCCGTTGGTGACGTCGGATAAGTATTATTCAAAAAATTTTAATAAATATTTCTTAATGCATCAAAATCAGTATTAATTTTATAATTTTTTGCTGTTGTAGATTTCATCATTCGACGGCTGCTGCTCATGCCATCACAGTGGTCATTCAGGTGAAGTTCACGTCGTGTTATCCTACATGGAGGACAGTTCCTCGTGATTTGTGGTTTGATGAGTTTCGAGTTCGTATTTTCAATGTAGTCATGGTTAAATATTTTTTATATTTACTATTAATTAATATTTATTAACTGTTTATTTTTGTCTTCATGCAAAAATATTGTACATGGGATCCACGAGACGAGCCAGCCATTAGACAGATATTTAGTACTTGTAGATCTCATAGGCTTTCCGATATGCTTAGAGATGCCCGAATTAGAGTTAGACCAGACTAGATCCTGCCTTCTGTGTGGGAGGAGCTTCAAGCTTATTGGAGAGGAGAGAGGTTTATGATGTAAGCTCCCAGAATAAGGGGAACCGCTATTCGAAAAAAGGCAGTTCTTTCCACACAGGAGGCTCTATTCCACCCTACGAGCATGCTATGAGGATAGTAAGTCTTGTACATAAATTTTATTATTATTTCATAGTTATAAATAATCACAAAATTTTTTATTATGTATTATTACAGAAAAAGAGACCGGGAGGACTCCCCATTTTTTTAAGGTCTTTAAGTATATGCATGTTAAGAAGAAAGATGGTGAGGAGGTGTGGGTAGACCAGTGATCGGAGAAGACTTATGTAAGTAAAATTTATTTAATATCTTTATTAAATTTTATGTTAGCATACTTTATTTATTAACTTTTTATAATTAACATTTTTAATTATTAAATTTATTTTATGATATATACTTTGTGTATTAGGCTGACTTCCAACCTGCCCGATCCCTCCCAATCGACACTTGAGGAGACGTCTACTCCAGAGTCTTAGCAGATAGTAGACACTCAGCTGTGGGAGAAGTGCACTTGGGGAGAGCCTTCGGCTGTGTATACAGTCTTAGACGGCAGAGTTTTTCTCAGTCAATTCACTATCCTCCATTCGACAGTGCAAATCAGTCGGTGAGATTGGAGGTGTATACTCTCTGTCAGGAGAATCAGAAGCTACGAGAGAAGGTGGGGAGCATGGAGCTTACCCTTTATCATCTGATTAAGGTGGTTGAAGGGATAAGGAACACACTACCTGATCAACCATATCCTCCGGCGCCTGCTCACGATTCTAACTTTTCTGCATTTCAGTTAGGCGATGGCTGCTGTTGGAAGTGATTTTTTTTTTTTTTTTTTGAGATTTTGTTTCATGTAAATGTTTAGTGACACTCTATTTTATATTTGTAATAAGATATTTTTAATATTATTTATGCACATATTATTTCAGTTTTATGTAAATGTCTTAAATAAATTATCATAAAATATATATTTCAAAAATTTTTAAAATAAATATTAAAAATTAAATAATAATAAGAATTTATTAATTAATAATAAAAAAGAATTAAATAATTAATAATACTAATAACAATTTAATATTTTAATAATAAAAAAATAATAAATTAATTTCCGACGCAAATTTTGCATCGAAAATTAATTTATTATTTTTTTAATTATTAAATATTAAATTTGTTTATTATTAAATATTAAATTGTTTATTGTGTCGGTAATTTCCGACACAAAATTTGTGTCGGAAATTACCAACACTTCCCTTCTTTGGTAAATTTTGACACAATTTACAGTCCAATATTTTGTCGAAAATTTCCGACGCAAAATTTTTGTGTCGGTAAATTTTTTCTAATGGCCATATTTCTGAAGGAAGCTTTTGCGTCGGTAACACTATTTTTGATGCAAATTTCTATCTTACCGACGCCTTTTTTGCGTCGGTAATTCGCCATTTTCTTGTAGTGATGGAGGTCTCATCTTCAATCCCCTCGACCCGGATGTTCAAGGCATTTGTTCTTGATGCCAATGATCTTATCCCCAAGATCCTCCTTCAGGGTATCTAGAGTGTAGAAATCCTCGAAGGAGATGGAGGGGCTGGGAACCATCAAGCTCGTAACTTTGGAGAAGGCTAGTTTCCATTATCATCACTATCACCTTCCATAGAACATAGTCCTTTCTAATATGCAAGTAAAAACAAAACAAAGAACAAAGAGTCTTTGAAGCTAAATTGTCCTTCCCAAAACAAACTAAGGGGGTGTTTGGTTTGCAAAAATGTTTTCCCTTTTCCTTTTCTATTTATATTTTTTGAAAAGTAGTATTTCATTTCAAAATTTTTATTTAAAAAAACATGTTTGGTAGGATTTGCCATTTTCTATTTTCAAGAAATGAAAACAAAGAAAACATGTTTAGTGAATCTATTTTTAATAAATTGAAAATGAAGACTTAATTGAATAAAATTAAAATTTTAGGGTTTTTGATAGGAATTTAATTGATTAAATTAAAATTCTGGAATTTAAAACAAAATCTGAAGAATATAGGGACCAAATTGAAGAAAGAAAGAAGAGTTAGGGGACCAAACGAAATTTCACTAAATTGGTCATCCCCTGCCTCTACCGAGTCACGATCGGGTCCAACAGACCCAATCGCGACCCGAGTTCAATTTCGCCGCTATGTAGGCTTTTTATAAATAATTTCCAAACTGAATTTTCATTGTGTCATCACAATAACAAAAACCTTAATCAATTTGAAGAATTTCAACTTTAAAAGCTGAAATTTGAAGATCAACCCTCCGATAGCATTGCTACTCTACTGTTGGCGGAGGCGTGAAGCCAGCCCTTGCCAGTAGAGGCAATTGACACCATTAGTCTCTTCGTTTGAGTTCGGTGACAGACACTGATTGACGAAGAAGATGAGACAAAAATGAGAGCTAAGAGGTGTTTTGTATCTACGATGGTCGGTGCACAGACAAGAGAGACGAGAGAAGTGAGGGAGGTGACATGTAGCGTTTGGCTCTTGTACAGATGAGAGATGAGGGAGACGAGACAGATGAGAGAGATGACATTGCAGTGGTTGAGTTTTGCACTTTCGCAAAGCAACCTAGACGAGCGATAGAGATGAATACAGTAGTAGGGAAATGTTTGATACAGAAAAGACACTGGAAATGAAAGAAATCACAATTGTGCCACCGCGTTTTCAACTTTCACAGAAAACAGAAAAAAGACTTTTTATCGTTTTTCTTTTCTCTATTAAATTATAGAAAACATTTTTAAATAGTGAAAATAAAAAATGCTGCATCAAACATGTTTTCAGATCCGTTTTCTGTTTTTATTGAAAATGAAAACAGAAAACGGCCCAACCAAAAGTGTCCTTTATTTGTTGATATGCAGGGAGCAACTACAAGAGCGTGAAGCAAAGAGTTGATGCCATTGACAAAGAGAACTTCTCCTACAGCTACAGTGTGATTGAAGGTGAAGACTTGATGGGCATGTTAGAATCAATCTCGTACGAGATCAAGATCACTGCCACTCCTAATGGAGGGTCCATTTGCCGGAACACTAGCAAATATCACACCAAGGGTGATGCTTAGGCCACTGAGGAGGAAATCAAGAGTGGGAAAGAGAAGGCACCGGCAATGCTCAAGGCTGTTAAGGCCTATCTCCTGGCCAATCCTGATGCCTACAACTAAAGGTTCACATAGCCTCTATTTTAAGATAACAAATTCTCCTGAGTGCTCCCTTGTATGAGCGTTGATGCTACAGCTTCCGAATGGAAATTTTTATTCAATAAGAAGATAGATATGCTGTAATCTTTCAGTAAAGGAAAGTATATTTCTCTATTTTTATATTCCCTTCAAAAATGAGTTAGCTTAAGATTATCTTTTTAATAACACCAAGATCTTTTTAAAGTGTTAATCGAAGGATCTGAACTGATTTGAGATTATAAGTGATGTATATTGCTCTCCTCTGTCCTCTTTCTTGTACTGCTTCAAAAGAAAATTATAACCCAAAATTGATGAAATGAATTTTGGAACCAATCGTGTTGTCAACTCTGTTTTCAATTGAGCACAGGGGCTCAATATTCCATAACTGAGGTCAAGACTCGGATAAGTGCACTTCAAAGAACAGCAAACACAAGTTATTCCACATTCATGGACGTGAGATTTAGAATTTAAACTTTAAAATTCGATAAAAAGATCATTAGAATTCTTTTACTTAGAAAATTAAATAGGAAAAAGAAGAAGTGGGCAACTCAGTTATGAAATATTGAGAAAGTTAAGTTGATCGATTAATAGTTTAAGTTGCGGTTTAAGCTTTTCTGTCCCAGCCCATTTCTCACCCTAATCCATATCCGTTCCTTCTGAAAACACTTCTAAGAGTTCTGGATTCCTTGATAAAAATCCATGATTGTATTGGATCAAATCCAGACTTACATTCGCAATCCAAGCACTTTTATCAAAAGATATTCTCCAAGAAGTTCTTCTCCAATATTTCCTAGCCCAGAGGAAACCAAAGAAAAGGAGGTGGTAAATATTGATGTTCCCAATTCATGGGCTGAAATTGTAGTTTAATTTGGTGCTTGTCATTTTGCTTTATCATTGGCTACCCCTTTTTAGAAAACTTGAAAAATCAAAATGCGGGTGTATAATATGAATAATAATATTTTTAATGGTAATATTAACCAAGTTAAACCTAATTTCATGTTTAAGCATTAGCAATATTGAATATTTTCTTATGAGCCCATGGGAATCATGAGTTTATCTAGAACATAGGGCTGGTTAGGGAGATATTCACTACTCCACCCTCCCTCACCAAAATAAAATAAAATAAAATAATAAAAAATTCATCCTTGACTCTACTTTTGTAGTAATTCTTTTAATAATGCATAATATTTAATTTGGGAATATTGATCATTCCCGGCCAACGTAAGTCCACAAAGTGGTGGAATCATTTATCCTAAATGGTAATCTGGGATGTTTAATAAATCCTGGAAGGATGGATCCTTATTCTAGACATTACAAGTCTACAAATATTAAAGACAAAGGAAAGATTAATTTTAAATAATTTATGAGTTATCCTGATAGGTTCCATTCCTAATTTAATTGCATACTCATGTCATCATTACTTGTTTTAAAATGTCATTTGTTTCTCTCAAATAATAGAGTGCTACAAACCGGTCACAGTAATTGATGGAATTGATGTTATCAGAACAGTCACAATAATAAAGCTGTTGGGAGATATTTTAAGAAAAGTCCACTTGCAGGCGTTGGAGTTTGCCCATTCCATGAATGAAATGGACAGCCCTCATTTTTATAGATGTGATCTTCTTAAAAATATTCGGTACTAAAAGCTTGATACAATAGGATAATAATTTTCAACTTTTGGATCACGAAATAGACAGCTCAGAGTTGCTAAAATTGAGAAATGGAAGAAGTTTAGAAATGGAGAAACCCATCATCTCTAACTGCAAGAGGGAGGAGGGGTTCCACTTAATGCAAGGGAAAGAATTATCAACAAATGATGCAACAATTAGGGGTCTAAGATAAGGTGTGGTATTACTCACACCGGATCAAGGAAGTTGTTAAAGCAAAAAAACGGGGCTTGTTACTAGAAAATGACATCTTGGTATTGCGAGGATGTGCACTTGGCACACAACAGCAACTTTGGAGGAGCAGAGCATGTATGCAAAATTTATTGTTTATGAGGTGGGAGTTCATAAGCCACAAAGTTCAAGTTGGCTTAATTATTTCATTTCTACTAGCCATGCAAGTGTACTCATACACAACATAAAATCTAAAGTAGGGGTGATGTTTTCTTGGTTAATGTTGTTTTTTCAGAAGATCAAAGACCATAGAAGCGAGTCAACACCCATGTAAAAGGATAATATTCTCATCAAAGTATTAATAAACAAAGACTTGTGATGACCATAACACAAAATGTTCATTTCATTAGCATGTTAACAACAGGGGCACCCGGAAAATTAAACATTATCTTTTGTTGCACATCGAAATGACATCATCTAATGATTGATGCAGAGCTGACACAAAGAATCCTTAATTTAACTTAAATTAGTGTATAAAGAAAAGTAACTCATTTTACATTGGATAGAACAGTCTCTAGGTAGAAGTGGCCAAGGTGATCATACAACAATTTTTTATGCTTTTAGTATCTCAATTGTAAGAAATCATTGGGATTTTTGCTATTCTGAGTCATTGTTAATATGTTGGTGCAACACTGAATTAATGAATTAAATGCCAGTATTAGTTTGAATATTTATAACTCTTTCTCATTGAGTGATTGATTGCTTAGAGTGGCCATGGGTCAGTGAAGGATTAGATCCTTGCTTGTAGAAGAATTTTGTTTCACAGCTTATAATTTGTGATACATAATTTAAAATGCATAACTTTTTATGTAATACTTTTTAATTGATTATTGTATAATTACAATAATCTTATCCAATAGGAAAGTTGGGGAAGGGAAAAGAGAGAATGAATGAATGAATGAAATAGAGAAAAAAGAAGAGGCCAATAGTACCAAACTAGTTGTCAAGGTTGGCATCTGTCATGCCCTAACCCAGCACGTGATCAGCCCTAAGACTGACCCGCCAGCCCTAATAAGCCTTAGACTCATGTAGTTTACATAGAAGCAACCCATTCAATATTAATTTAATTTAGGTAGAACAGTAATTGTGAATCCATTAGAATTACAAGTCAAAACCCTATCTGAATAGTACATAGAGTAACTAGAGTACAAATGAAGAATGTACACCAAATGCCCATGCCTCATAATTGCCGCAGCAAAACCGGTATTCACTCACTCAGAGTGCATCAGTATCTAAGTGGAGTTGCAATTTGGAAATGGGGGAAAAGAGGTGAGTACAGATTTAGTGAATGATATTGTTATTCTATCATGCGGGAACATGTAGAGTAACAAAACAAGCACATATTATGCCTCAAGTATCAAACCATAGTTTATTGGAACAAAAATCCAAAAATCAACACATGTTAGAGTAACAGAATATATCATAAAACTCATTTCACGACAGCCATCGCATGTCAGAGGTACTAGAATCACAAATAGCATATCACAGATTGCATCTCATATAGGATCCCATATCAAAGCTAATATCCGAATCACAAAAGGCACATAGTGTTAGAACACTATTGTATTCATTAGAGTTTGAACCCATAACGTTCTAAACGTGCAAGTTCAGAAAACATGAGTCTGACAGAGGCATAATTATTTTAATACCAAACATTCCATAGAGTTTAACAAATATATTGCATGTCCTGATTTACTTTTAGAAATCATAACCCAGATTGAAAGATGAGGCAACGACAGAATTTTAAAACTTGTACAGAGAAAAACAATACCATTCACTGTACACGTCAAAACCAGAATCTTGACGCTTGGAGTGACGGCTAACGGCTGACGGGTCCAAGCGCGTCTCCTTAGGCGTATCTATAAGCACCACAAAATATAAAATCAAAACCAGAATCAGAACCCCCCTAAATGATGACTCGACCCACTCACACATCCAAAAACAATATCCTTATTCCCCTAACTTGGGACCTACCATCGCTTAACTCCATTTCATGTACAAACTTGGAACCCAAGGTGGACTAGCCTCCAATTCCCATGAACTGGCTTAAACCAACCTCCATTTCGCATAAACCAGCCTAACCCGATCTCCAATACCCATGAACCAACCTCAAAACACTAAACTGGCCAGGATTCCATAAAACCAAACTGAACTGGCCACAATCCTTTTAAAACCAAGCCTAATCAGCCATGATACCTATGAAACCAGGCTAAATTAGCATTGAATCACGTGGAACCAGATTGAATCGACTAGAAATCCTATAAATCTAGATTGAACCGGCCTTGACAGTCATAGAATCAGAATGAACCTCATTCAACTACTAATTTGGCCTGAACTAGCCTTTTAGAGTGCTGAACCAGCCTTTAACCCCAAAATCGGCCAGTTCTACTACTGTACCTCCAAATTCACCATGGACTAGTGTTTTCCTAGAGCCCCAATCGGCTCAAACACACTCTACCTAGCCCCCAGAAGCTAGAATCGGCCTGACCTCCCCTAACAGACTTGAGAATACCCTCGAACCGGCTAGTTTTAGCTCAACTGAGCTAAACCAGCTGGCTAGCCCAAGATAGACTTGGAATGTGTCTGAATCTATCTTTTTCACCTGGAAACCTAAGTCCCTGACCCAGGTGCTGCAGCTAAAACCCCACACACCCTATATCAAAATTAACCGATTTCAAGGCCTACCTGGACTAATCAAGGGCTGGGAAATGTAGAACCGACCTTGACAAAATGATTCCCAAGCCTTATCGGAGAATTGAATGGCTTGGATCTTCAAATTTTGTAGAGGGTCCTGCTCGTCTCTCGCAGAACTCCCGAAGAAACCGATGCAATTCCCCTCAAATTTTCACTCCACTTACACAATTAATCGAGGCTTTTAACCTTATAAGCACCGAAGACTTGACTCCTACAACTTTGGCCAGCTGTTTCTACCGATTTGGATGGAATTTCGGTGTTCTCAGTGGGTGGTCGGTGACCGACTCACCCTTTCGCCCTTGTCATAATCCAGTCCTCAAAATTTCCTTTTTCTTCAATTTTGCCTACTGGTCTCTAGTTCTGACCTCCTGACTTAAGTGCCTTTCTGTTTTAGTCCCTCATCTTCCAATTCGTGCAATTTCATCCCCAAAAATTTGGAATTTGGCCCCACTTTTCTAATTTCTCACTTTCCCCCTCCAATCCTTTAATTGCTTCAATTGCACACTGGTAAAATTGGATATTAAGCCCCAAATTAAATAAATTTCTTCATTTACCCCCTTAAATCTAGTAATAAATGAAATTCTACTTACTCACCTATTAGAGCCATTACAGCATCCCACATTGGCTTTGTTTATTTTTCTATGTGAATATGTCATGATCTAATGAATCAATTTTTATATATGCTGCTAATTAGTAACTTAACTATTGTGCTTGAAGGAGCCCAATAGGTTGGAATGTTAAAACTTTAAAACACTACTACTAAATCAGTTAATCCATGAGCCTAGTGTACAGATAAACAGAGAGCAGACACTTCAAACAAAAAATTTTGTCCTCACATCATCTGCTCTTCTAAAAGGATGAACCTGCCTGGAAATTGGTCTTTTTCTCTCTCTCTCTCTCTCTAACAGCTATAATGGTGTGAGTGATTTTGAAACCAAAAAGAAAGAAAAAAAAAAAGGTAATTGGAGAATCACTCATTTTAGAGTAGAGTTCTTGGAAAGAAACGATCTAGTGGTTGAAGTCTCAAAACTAAAGAATAAAGGGAATGATCTTAATACCATAACTAACAAAAATGCGCAGAAGAAATGCCGAACAAGTTATCTAATCAAGGTGGACAGAAATATTTGCTTTTCTCTTAATGTTCCTAGACATACTGCAAATGCTACCAGCAGAAATAATCCATATGGATCATGTGAGTTACCTTGGTGGACTGAAGTGTAAGTTAGTTGCTCATGCTATTGGACAGCTAAATTTGATTGGACAATGATGAATAAGATTTCTTTTTTTGGAACGAACAATTAATTTTCTACCAATTTCCCTGACTTACTCAACATGCATACTCCCAAGCTATTCTTCATGATTGAAATGAATATTGACATGGCAGACATTTTCCCATATAAATTGAGTGAAAAGTGGGCAATTGTTGCTTTCTGCCCTCTCAGGTGCTTCAAACACCATCTTTAAAATGTCTTCCACTAGGAAGCTTCCTTACTGGTCTTGTCTTTTTGCTTGAAATATACCCATTATGTCCTAGTTTGATGTTTCAGTATAAAAGGAACAACTTCTCCGAAGAGAGAAATCTGAAATCTTTCTGCAGTTGATTCAACAGGCATTGGAAATTGGGGTGACCATGGTTGTGTCCAATAGTTCTCATGTAAACACCTGTTGAGGGGATTAAAAAGGTTGTTTCTAGAAGAATGCCAATTGGACCTAATGGAAACTTTACATTATACTGTTAAGGTTATCATAATTCCAAGCTAAGGTCTCCGTATGGGACCAAGTGGCATGTTTTGCATGGAACTACACAGGAGTACTACCCTCGGTCTCAGTCTATAAATACCACCCCTAGGGCAACCATTTCCCTCACACCTAAGCATCCTAGAAATGCTTTCTCATACTTCTTCTCTCCTGTCATCTTTGATCAAATTCCATATCTCTAGGTCATCATGGGCATGATCACTTATGAGACGGAGATCACTTCCTCAATCCCTCCTGCCAAGTTATTCAAATCCTTCGTCCTTGATGCCAACAACCTCATCCCCAAGGTCTTCCTACAAGCCATTAAGAGTGTTGAAATCCTTGAAGGGGACGGTGGGCTTGTAACCATAAAACTTGCCACTTTCAGCGAAGGTTAGCTTCCATAATCATTATTTGAGTTCTCAACATCAAATCACATCTACAGTGCCTTAGCACTTTTTATTATTAATAAAAAGATAAATAATTAAACTAAGGTGGTCATTATTCAATATTGTAGCCAAGAAGGCACAAAGGTCTAAATTGGAGAAAGAGGTCTAGTCCCCTTGTACCATGTTTATCTCTGTCCAAAGATTTAAACTTCATAGGAATTTAACGTGAAGAGAAAAGTTTTGAGATATTTAAAGGGAGAGGCACAAGAAAGAATTGAATTTCTTCAGTTCCTGCCACAATCAAAAAAAAGTTAGATAAGTTGTATATTCAAATCTGACTACCTAATATTTTGTTGGTATGTAAGAAGCCACTACAGGCATGCCAAGCAAAGAATTGACGGGATTGACAAGGAGAATTTCACCTACTGTTATAGCATAATTGAAGGTGATGGGATTGACAAGGAGAATTTCACCTACTGTTATAGCATAATTGAAGGTGATGCTCTTGGGGAAACTGTAGAATCAATCTCTTATGAGACCAAGATCCTCCCTTCCCCCGAAGGAGGATCCATCTGCAAGAACACAAGCAAGCACCATACCAAGGGTGATGCCCATCTCACCGAAGAGGAGATCAAGTGTGGGAAAGAGAAGTCCTTGAAAGTGATGGAGGGCCCGGAACTATCAAGCTCACCAGTTTTGGCGGAGGTTAGATTCTATATGTTTTCATCCACAGTTCTGGGGTGTGCATTGTTCAGTTAAAATCGCGAAATAATCAAATAAACCAAACTGTACTAATGATCTCACTTCAGTTAATTTCTATGGGTTCAATTTTTATTTTGAAAATGCAGTTGGGTTATCGGTTTGAGGCTTTGCAAATTGAATTAACTGTATAATACTAACACATGAAGACGTAGCACATCCTCACTTTGGTTTGGCCTTGTGCCATTTGCCTGTACACGCTAAACCTGTGGTCATTGCATATGTCAATGGATACAACCAAACCGAACAGGAGCAGATTGTGACTTGGTTTCAGTTATGCATGATTCAGTTAAGCGAAAAAGCAGAAAGCATTTCCTACACGAGGAAACAGCCTCTTCTAATTGCTTCCGTAGAGTTTATACACAATTGTGCAATACCAAAAAATAGGAAACTAATAGGTGTATTCTCAATTGACGCGCAGGAAACCAATTGAGGAGTGTGAAGCAACGCGTGGATAAAATTCACAAAGAGAACTTAACCTACTGTTACAGCATCATTGAAGGCGAAGCCTTGACGGGCGTGCTCGAATCCATCTCTTACGAGATCAAGTTTTTGCCGTCTCCGGGTGGAGGGACCATCTGCAAGGATACCAGCAAGCACCACACCAAGGGCGGCGCCCACATCCCAGAAGAGGAAATCAAGAGGGGGGAAGAGAACTTCCGCCATGTTCAATGCCGTTGAGGCTCACCTCTTGGCGAATCCCAGTACTTACAACTAGTCGTGCCTTTGGGTGTGAATGATTCGGCCTTTCCATTTCCATCAAATGATGTGGTTTTCCCTTGTATGGCTTGAACTAAATGAAAGGGTCTCTTTGTAATCCTTTACTGCGTTTTCCTCGTTACGAAATATCTCACTGAAAGTAATTTTTCTTCTTCTTCTTTTTCTTCAGCTAATATGATATTCATTTATCTTTTTCTTGAAATGGAGGGATTTCTTAATGTGAAAACAGTTCTGTCAGGAAATAGAAGATTGACTTCCTCAAAGTTCCATCACAGGCTAACCAGAGACCGCGCATAAAGTAGGATTATTAAAAACCAGTCAAGTGATTATTTGTCCTGATAGACCACAGGCTCGGATACTCATATTCACCCTTTGAGCATTGTGATATTGTTTCGGTGATGATCAGGACGCATAGGTGCTCCTACAAAAATTGCCAATGGCTATCTCATTGCTTATTGATGATTGTAGACTTCTTTTCCTGACTTTTATATGTTCGGTTTTTAAGTCCAAAAACTGAAAACTCAAAGTTATGATTTCATAGATTTTAGACTTAAGCCCCAAAAACTGCAGATTTATGGCTTTTGGCTTTTGGCTTTTCCGGCTTATATTATAATAAATATCATCCTGGCCACAGTCACTGAGTATTATAAACCAAGTCTTCATATAAATAATTCAGCACCTGGTCAACACTGACCAAGAAACCAGGTAGTTGCATTGGCTTCCTCAGCAACTGATAGCAGGTTTAACCATCTGCTCCTCTATCTTTACCATGTGAAAGGTTGCACTGTAAATATTGAAGTTTTCCTGAGTCACAAGATGACATGATAACAAAATGGCAGTTGCAGGGTAAATTTTCTGAATAATCCAAAGTATATTGGAACTCGTTGACTATACATGTCTTTAAACTCTTGTCACCATCGCTGATCTCGAACTCAAGGATTCTTATTTAACAAGCCATATATCAAAGTTAAAGATCATGGATTTTTTGTTTGCCTGGTATATGAGGTTAATAACGAAAGTGAGCCTCCTTTATGAAGATCACCATGACAAACTTATGAATTTTGGGTTTTATTGGCCAGGAAACTGTATTCTAGCTATCACATTAGGAGTTTATATTTTGACTTTCGGCTGCGCCAAATCTGTTGTACCCCTGAAGTTTGTAGTACCCAAACTTCAAGCATTATTTCAACTATTTGCATATTCAGTTTTCTGCTTGAGAAAGCAGAGTTGCATACTAATTTTCTGCTCTATAAGATTCCAATAAGTGAGACAAACTTAAAGGTTTTTTGTCAACTGAACAAGTGTTTACTATGCTGGCTATTACCCTTAGTGAATGGTAAAAAGTTAACTTCAAGCAGAATATGATTACATGCGTGCTTGTTTTGCTATATGATATACTGAATCTTAGTTATCTTCTTACAGAACTGTGCAAGGGTTATATAAAAAATTTATATTTTGCCTTAATTGAACACGTTCAGGCAGCCCCATTATTAAAGAAAGTAACAAAAAAGGGGAACCAGTTACAATTGGGGAATAATTGACCTCATGAAAGATAAAACATTCATATGCACAGCCATCTCAATCGGATATGAAATTGCTGGCATTTCTGCCCCTGCCCTCCGCCCCCGGGGTGCGTGCGCGAAAAAAAAAAAGGAAAAAGAAAAAAAAGGGATGAAAAATCATCATTGGCTTGCCAGGAATAGAATCACAATTAAGGGCAATGAGCCCTTTCAGATTCTATTTAGTTCATTTATCCTTGATCGTCCATGTGATAGTGGTTGGTTTGACTATGATCTGGGCTTTTATCACCATTTGGAGATAATGGCTTTTACCTTAAAATAAATCGGCTCTCGAAAGCTGAAAAGCTATTTCTCTATAGTTTCAGAAAATTTCTTAACAAAAGCCTGGAATTTTGAGAAAGCAGACATAAATTGCTTTCAGCTTGGCCACCAGTGACGTGCAAACCTTCAGGAGAATAAGTTCGGACTTGATAATCACCAGTTTACAAGGTGAAATGGCATTTCCAAACTTGCTATCAAAGCAGTAGTTGAGATCCAATGAACCATCTTGGGCTTTGGTCAATACTGCCGTACAAACAAATACTTGTTTATATCTGCATTTGATAATTTCATAGAGTACTCATGCTTGTGCTAATAATAATACCATGAATCAGGTAAAACAGAATGTTATCCATAATGGCTTATGTCACAAGATGAGAAGCTGAAAGGCATGGTTAGGTACTAAAATAGGTCCTCTTAGAATCAATTACTGGCTTTTGGTCAAACAGGTGCTCCAAGAATCATCAGCTTCTTGTGATGAGTCCTCAACAATATGATGGCCAATGGCTTAAAATGAATACTCACAAGCTCCCATGGTTCGTCGCACTATCTGGTCCAGTCGTCCAATGCTGGTTCCCTTCCCCCCTTTTTGTTGTTTGCTTCAAGGTCAATTTTTTTTTTTTTTTTTTTTTTTGGCTATTTGTTAAAACCAGATTTTTTTCACCCAATTGAGACCTTAAAACATAGCCTGTTTTTTGGATTAACTAGATACATAAAATTAAAAAAAGTGAGGCTCTTTTTTTTTTGTTACCAAAAATTGGTTAGTTTTTGAAAGAAAAAGAAAAGCTCATGAACCAAAGAGCTTTGGGTCTGAACCTTGTGGTATCTTCTCAGGTGTTAAGGCGTCCATTTAAAAAGGGAATGTTAACAATACTTGACGTGGGAATGTTTTAAATTCTCTGCTATCTTGACTTGTTCTAAGAAGGACCAGCAAAAAGTTATTATTTAAACAATCCCAACTTGTGAACTTATTTGCAAAGTACTGTACCATCTGACAGCTCGAATCCGAAATTTCAAAATTTCTGTTATGAATCTTTATATCTAGTATTATTGGTATTTCAGTAACTTCATATTGTATCTATGTTCATATGTATGTGGAGCCTCTGTTATAGCATAATTGAAGGCCAAGCTTTGATGGGCTTGTTTGAATTCCTCTCTTGTGAGATTAAGTTCTTGCCCTTCCAGACGGAGGGATCATCTTCAAAAACATAATCAAGTACCAAACAAAGGGTGATGCCCACATCCCGGGAGAGGAAATCAAGAGGGGGAAAGAGAAGACCTTGGCCATGTTCAAGGCTGTTGAGGCTCGCTTTTTGGTAAATCCCAATGCTTATAACAAAAATCCCACCAGTGTGTGTCTATCAGAGTCCCAACGTGCAGTCTTAACGACTATGCCATGCCTTTGCATCTCCAATCACCTTTTATGGCTTGAACTAAATAAAAAGGACTATTATAATCCCTTAATATATTTGAAGATCTTCATCTTCTTGTTTCTAATATTATCAGCAGATATAACAGCAGGAATATGTGTGTTTGTGTGTGTGTATCATGAAACTGTAGGCAATTCTGTCAGGAAATAAAAAATTGGGTGGCCCAAATTTCATCACAGACAACTCAGATTATGTGGACTCAAGGTAGGGATATTAAAATAGTTGGCAAGGAACTTGATCCCGCCCCCCCCCCCCCCCCCAAAAAAAAAGGGGTCTGTTTGGTGTTAGACCACAGGCTTTCAAGAGGGTAGTACATGCTATTATTTGCTGAGGAAGCCAATGCAACTATTTGGTTTCTTGGTCAACATTTACCATGTTGTGAAGTGGGAATTTTATTTATATGAAGATTTGGTTTAGAATTCACAGTTACAATGTCCAGGATGATATTTATTACTAGCGCTTATGTTAAAAGATTAAAAGGTGAAAAGCAATGTTTTATTGGTTCATAGGTCCAGCCATCAAGCCCAAAAGGCTGAAAATATTGTCATTAATCCTGATAGACCCCAATTATCCAAAAGGAAAATTGAACCTATGGGCTTAAAAGCCAATACCATAAGCTTGAAAAGTCAAAGTTCTAAATATCCTCCAAAACATTTGCCCTCTTGTGAATTAGGGCAGCTAGAATGCCCTAGGGGCATAAAATGTAGCTTTGCTAATTATTGATTGCGGCTCAGACAGGTGCTGCAAGAAGTCCATACAAACCCCCTCTTGATCTAAGATGGGATGAGTAACACAAGACGAATAACATCAAGTAACGACACCATAGCTTTTCAGTCAAAAGTGAGTCTAAACTGAGTTCAAATTATGAACTCTATGATAACTTTAGTTTGGAGCATCCATGTATATAGAGGTTAATCAATGAGCAATATCAAAATGGTCAAATGGTGAAGATGAGTATTTATAGAAGCAACAGAAGCTAAACACAGAATACAACAGAACAAAATACCCAGATTTAGGTTAAATTTTTCGAGTTTGTGCCAAAACTTCAAGTACGGTTGATTCCACTTGCCTCAACAGTTTTCTGCACAAGAAAGCAGACTTGGATGCTGATTTTCTGATATATACAATTCCAAAGAAGTGACGTAAACTCATATCATCAGTAGTTTTTTGTTAGCTCTACAAATGCATACTTTTGATGAACTAAAGCTTTATCATAAGTGAGCCAGGCTGGCCATTCCCCCTGATCCAGGATTAAAAATTAATTCCAATCAGAATATTATGGTACATGTGCTTTTCTGCTGTATGATAATTAAATCTTACTTTCATGTAACTATTTACAGGTTAAAAGAAAATTTTGTTTTGCCTTCGATTGAACTAAACGGATAGATATGTTTGTTGACAAGTTCAAGCAAGCCCCATTGGATAAGGCAATAAAACAAGGTAACCAGGTACAGCGGAGATCATTGACTTCAGAGTTGTATGTTTCGATCAAGTCAAAGAGTGGATGATAATATGAAAATACATGGAAAATATGTAATTTCTTTGGCGTAAAATATTCTGAATGGAAAAAGAAAATCACAAATACTTCTATGTTCAACTTTAGACAAGATTGCTGACTGAAGCCTAAGTATGCATACATTTGACCATAGAATTTCTGTATACAACTAAGAACTCTTCAAACAGATAATTCATTGGATGATTTGAGAATTTGATAATCGGGCTATGCAGAAGTAAATTTGAAGTGGATTGCTTTTTTTTTTTTTTTTTTTTTTTTTGTGTTCCTGCTTGAGATGACCTGATTAAAAGGTGTTCACTCATTTAACAAGTGGCTCAAAACAATATAAGATAAACAATTGAGTGCTTAAAGCAGCTTTTAAGCACTACGTCTGTCCCCTCTAATTGAATGCCATAACACCCATTATTTTTTTCCCTTGGTCCAGTAACCACCTGATCTAGAGGCACAAGTAACTGAATTTCAATCCCTGAAATATATTAGCCAGCCCCAGATGGACTGGCATTTTGGTCAATTTATAGAAATTAAATACTGCAAACTGGTAGCGACAGGAATGGCAGGGGAATGGACCTTGAGTAGATATACCAAGCATATTAATTATTTCCTCTGATAACAAATCAAAGCCACTTTCCTCCTTCATTTTCGTACCAATCCACCAGTGATGCTGTGTTCATCTACCCTCTTAGGTAAACAAAATTTTACATTTCAGACTCCCCAACTTCTCTACAAAACTCAACTCATTTAAGCTTGTCCATCATTGGAATATGCAGGTAAACCAGGACCTTGCTGCAAGATAAGCCCCAAATTCCGGACTAGGTCTATGTCACAAAAAGAGACGTGGAAAACCATGGTTGCTGTAATAAGCCCATTTAGTATCCAAAAAAATGCGGCAATTTTTGCTGTTCCAAAAAGTCATCTTTTAATTATAAAGAAATAGCTTATGAAATTTCTACAGTTGATTTAGATATGAAAAATCCCCTGAAATGCCAAAAATTCGGAAGTTTATATTGATGGGATCCTATGAAAAAACCACCATCAAGTTAAAAAAAGAAGCACTATTTATATACCTGAGGATATAAAACTTTGGCCTTCTTTTGGCTGAGTTCACCCAGAGTTAATTACTACCCTGGAATGCAGCCGTGCAGAATTACTGGCTTTAGTTCAAGTGAGATCACTAGATCAGCTAGAAGTATCAATCTTAGATGGGCCCTGAAGCAGGATAAGTAAGACAATTAATCTCCTTGGTAGTAACTATCCCATAACTTCCCTTGGTAAAACAGTTTAGTGCCTACCTTTATTAGCTAGTTAGCTGGGAATGAAAAGTCCCTCGTATTGATGATGATGATGGTGATAAAAGAAAGTTGATCATCAAACACAGAGATGGTTAATGTTTTAAGATGAAAACAAACATAAGACACACTACAGTTTTTGTTGGGAATACTCTTGTCTTATATGTGCACACACAAAATATTTATCATTGAGCAATTTTGTCAAAGTTGGCGGACTCCAAGAGGCCAAAGTAAACTACTTGAGAAAATAGCACTATTCAAAAGAGCCATCTGTAATTTTTCTAAAGAGGTTGAGATGTCTTAATTTAAATAATCATTTAAAAAAAAATAATTAGCCAAACGATCCCAATTTTCTGCTATCTAAATAGATTAGAGAAAGCCTTTGACCATGGAATGCAGAATTAAAAATAAATTATCTGCTAAATATTCTTACCATATGAGATTCCAAACAAATGTTTTAGAAATCAGATCCATGGAGTTGTTATCATCACCTGTTATCTGGTGAAATATTGAAAATTAATAACTAGACTAAAGCCGCCGTTGTAGAATTGACGGGGTTATTTTTGCTTTGCAGTTCACAGGGGATGCCTTTGGCCTCACTCTATAAATACGAACTCTAGTTCTTCCATTTTCTCACACCAAAACCATCCCACTCAACAAGTAGTCCTTCTTGTACTTCATCCCATTCCTAGGTGGTCTTTTGAATTTAAAGGAATCATGGGCGTGATCACTTACGATACGCAGGTCACTTCCTCAATCCCTCCCGCCAGGTTGTTCAAGGCCTTTGTCCTTGATGGTGACCACCTCATGCCCAAACTCATGCCTAGCATTATCAAGAGTGTTGAAATCCTGCAAGGAGATGGAGGGCCTGGAACCATCAAACTCACTAGCTTTGGTGAAGGTAAGAATCTAAATATCTTTCATTCATATAAGGTAAGAATATAAATATTTTTCATTCATAAGAGGGCAAAGAGGTTGCTAATGTAACTACATATGCCTTATCCATGGTAAGGTATTATCTGTTTTGACCCGAAAATCTCACGGTTTTGAGCAAAAGGTGCCTCACCTTTGTAGGTTCCAAGCTTTTACTATATGACCCAACACCTTTTCTTTCCATTCTGACGTGGGATTCATTCCCTCCTACGCACTTCGTCTTACAAGTCTCCCAGAACTCACACCTTGATCAGTCAGTTGTGGCCCCGGTAATCCCCTTCGTGCCCCCATGGGACCCGGGCATCACAGTTAAGCACCCCAGCTTTTTGGCTGAATCGCCCAATGGGCTATGCTTTCTGATTTTAAATCCAAAGCCACGTTTTGTAGCTTCAAGGTTTAAGTCTACAAAACTTGGAAATCTTGGCTTTGGGCTATCTTTCTTTTTTGGCAGAAAGATCGAAGATATAATCCTAGAAAATCAAGCAACCAATGTCTACAAGCGAACAAAATCTTAGCTTCTGACCTTATGGACTAAACAATACAATAGACAAGCCTAAAAGGTTCAATTTTATGCCATATTATTTTCAACCATGAAAGTTATTGAATTAATGGAATAGTAACACCATTTCTGAAATATCGTTTGGCATACTTATCCCACAAATTGGCGTCTTCTCTATTGGCATGCAGGAAGCCAATTGAAGTGCCTGAAGCAAAGGGTTGATGTGATTGACAAGGAGAACTTAACCTACTGCTACAGTGTGATTGAAGGTGAAGCTTTGAAGGGCGTGTTTGAATCAATTTCATATGAGATCAAGTTCTTGTCCTCCCCAGATGGAGGGACCATATGCAAGAACACCAGCAAATACCACACCAAAGGTGATGTCCATATCTCAGAAGAGGAAATCAAGAAGGGCAAAGACAAGGCCTCTTCAATGTTCAAGGTGGTGGAGGCTCACCTATTGGCAAATCCCGATGCTTACAATTGAAATTATGCTCTGTGAGCTTTTGTGTTGTGTATTAAGAACATGCAGTCTCATCTCACGAGTGTTTCTTTGTTTTACCATGCAACCCTTACTAAATAAAGGAAGTCCTTGATAGACAGATTAATATTATAGTCGAGATAACAGAGATAAAGTGCGCTTGCTCATAAGAACCGAGTGGGAAAGAGAAGGCCTCGGCCATGTTCAAGGCTGTTGAGGCCCACCTCTTGACCAATCCTGATGCCTAGAGCTAAAGCTTTATGTGTGCTATATATGTAATGTCATGAATGTGCCTTTGTATTAGTACCAATATTGTGTTTTTTCCCTTGTAAATTCCAAAACTCGTGGTTGTTCCAACTTGTTTGCTCCTTAGAGGCTTCCATTCGTTAAAGAAGAGTATTAAATGGTAATTTCTATACATACAATCACTGCTAGTGTTTATATATCCAAGGCTGATCTCCACTGATTTGAAAGTCTAAATATTGTACTACAATCATCTATCTTCATTCTAATGCCTAATCTTTATTGAAGGTCAAGTCTGTTATATCATTTAATCTTCAGTTATGTTCTCATGACCAAATATGATACCTCTGATATTTCAGCAGGATCACTGAAACATCATACTCCTTTAAAGCAGGCTAAAAAGAGGTAATTGATTCTCTTAAACAATTGCTAATCCAATTCTTTCATTTGAAAGTTTTCATTTTAAAGTTTCTTGTTTATCCAATTTAAATAATGTTGCAGTTTCTGTCTAGATTGTTTCTAAGTGATAATTTTTCGTTCTAATTTCCTCATCTAGTCTATCCTTCTGGAGTCCCATTCCTCACCCAAAAATTAAAAATCTCAGAGGAATTAATGTATTAGAAAGAAAAAGCAATCTGACCATGTTGTGTTGCTTTGACTTTGTAATCTCACACACTAATTATGCAGATAGTCATGATTCAAAACATGTTAGATGTGTATGATTTCTAGATTGTTCAATTCCATATGATTAAGCCTATGGTAGGTAACGGTAGTCAACTATGCTATCCTGAAAAACACTTGTATGCTGGTGTGGAAATGATACTTTCCATGCTTATATATTCAGAAAAATGTTATCTTAAAGCCTATACGGGTAATATTTATTACTTTTGAGCCTCATGTGGTGTTGTTCTTCTCCAACCTTTTTACATTCATTATTTGAAAAACACATATACCACAAAGGTGCCCCAGAATAAAAATAGTAATTTGAAAATTGTTTGAATTGATGAAGATACAGCTAGCTGTTGGTAACATTCATATGAACCTTTTGTTTTAATTCTGTTTCCAAACCATTTTCAGAAAGGGAAAAAAATAAAAAGAAAATCTGTATTTAACCCAAGACTGATGTAATAATACAACTGTTCACAGTCTTCAAACCTGAAAGCAGTTCCTTTTCTTTTTTTACTTTCCTTGTACGTTTATTTCCCTTTATTTTCCTTCTAAGTGAGAAAATTTTGCTCCTTTTTTAATTTGTAAACGCTAGTCCCTTCCTTGATGATGGCAGTAGGCTGGGCCACGTTCTGGTGGTTAAATTCAACTTGGCCATTTATAAATATATTGATTCTAAAGGCATTTTACTCTGAACTTTCTTGTTTTTAATTCAGATTTCTATAAATTTACAACAAAATCAACAACAAACTTGGGTAAGACGGATATATTGTAAAAAAGTCCGTATAGCAGAAGAACCAAACCAAAGCGCTACAGGAAAGATAGAAAGAAAAAAAAAATTGATATTAGCTTTCGGTCTTAAGAGAATTAGTTGATCGGGAATCACAGGCTTGAAGAATACTGCACCATATTGTATTAGGTCAAATATGTGAGGCTGTTGCCACAGATTTTGAAACTGGGTACATATTACAAGTGTCTAACCCAGCACAGAAAAGGAAAAAGGAGAAAGGATTAAATTATGATTTATGAAGTTGTGTATTTTCGCTCATATCTTATTATGTGAAATCTAGTACTTTTCCTGACAATAGCAGCCACTACTACGAATGACCATGTGGTGGTAGAGTTACAAATAGTTTATTGCAATTCTTTTTGCAAGAATCTAAGTCGGGTATTTTTAATACTAGTACATACAATGGGGAGCACTTTACGGGAGATCACAGTTGGATTTTTCTCTTTTTTTATAAAATTATATTATACTAATTATTTTAATTTTTTTAGTATTAAACTAATATTATACTTTTTGACACTGGTATAATTATTTTGATTTTATTCAATTTCGATACAGTTTGATACAGTTTTTACAATTTTTTAATCATATTAAAGTATTTAAATAAATTAATAAAATTTTTACAAAATTACAAAAATAAGATTCTTTTACTATATAATTAACATGAAAAAATCAAATTATTTCAAGATTATATAATATTAATAACTATCTATAATTTTATATTTCTCAATCTTATAATACATTGAAAACAATTTAAAAACCGTATAAAAACAAATGAAAAATCAGTTTTGTTTAATTAAATGTAACATGTAATTTTTAATCAATTTAATTAAAAATCTACATCATTAGAGGATTTATTTAACTTACATAAAATATAAATATTTTAATTAATAACTTATAATCTAATTATTTAGAAATTTAATAATTTTGTATATAATATGAATAATTTAATAAAATTATTATGCATAATATATTGGTATCGTATAATTTAAACTTTAATTTTATTTTTCATTAAATTTATATTCGTTATTTTATCTTTTTCTGTTGATAGTTGAAATATAAAATTCAATAATTTCTATTTTAAAATTTAAAGTTCAATTCTCAAGTATTTGTATTTATTTGATAATGGTAATTTTTTTAACTTAAGATTTTTATGGAAAAAAACTTAATATTTAGTTCAATTCTTTATATTTAATTTTTCATTTAATTTTTTTTCAAGAACTCCTTTTTAGATTTGTTTAGTGAAACTTTTTTTCTTATTTACAATGAAAAAGTGTATTTAAGAAGTTTTTTTTTTTCGGTTAGGGCTTTTTATATGCTTGGTAGTTTATAAAATTTAATATAAGTGATAAATGGTAAGTAATTCACTGTATTATAATATAAATTTAATAATAAAAAAATAAAGAAAAGAATGACCTCATTCTCTAATAAATGTATAAAAGTTAAGAAATTACTTGTAAGAGTATGAGATATATATTAGAATCTTTTTTATAATTTAATCTATAATATTTGCACTTTTTTTTCATACAAGTACTTAATATTTTAATTTTTTAATTTACTATTAAAGTATAATTAATACTTAGAAATTTAATTATCTTGTATATGATATAAATAATTTAACAAATTATTATATATAATATTCGATTTGATATAATTTTTTAATCAATTTTAAATTTACTATATCAAAAATAGTCAATATGATATTATCTAATATCAAAATCTATAATTTTTTTTAAAAAGTTTAATTTTTAGTTCAATCCAGTACAATTTTAAAAGTTACGAAGTGCTTGCACCTCTTATTCTCACTCTATATATACCTCATCTAGTTCTCAAATACTTGTCAGACCGATATATCAATCTCTTCCTTCTAGTCAATCAACCATTTTTATTTTTCTCCTATAGTCTTGAATATTTTCTAAAACAATATCGCTGTCATCGTGGAGGTCTCATCTTCAATCCCCTCGGCCCGGATGTTCAAGGCATTTGTTCTTGAGGCCGACCACCTTATCCCCAAGATCTCCCTGAGGCTACCAAGAGTGTGGAAATCCTTGAAGGACATGGAGGGGCTGGAACATCAAGCTCGTAACTTTTGGAGAAGGCTAGTTTCCATATCATAACTATCACCTTCTATGGAACATAGTTCTTTCTAATATGCAAGTAAAAACAAACAAAGAGTCTCTGAAGTTAAATTGTCCTTCCAAAACAAAACTAAGTGTCCTTTCTTTGTTGATATGCAGGGAGCAACTACAAGAGCGTGAAGCAAAGAGTTGATGCCATTGACAAAGAGAACTTCTCCTACAGCTACAGTGTGATTGAAGTTGAAGACTTGATGGGCGTGTTTGAATCGATCTCGTATGAGATCAAGATCACTGCCACTCCTGATGGAGGGTCCATTTGCCAGAACACAAGCAAATGTCACGCCAAGGGTGATGCCCAGGTCACTGAGGAGGAAATCAAGAGTGGGAAAGAGAAGGCATCGGCAATGTTCAGGCTGTTGAGGCCTATCTCTTGGCCAATCCTGATGCCTAGAGCTAAAGCTTCACATAGCCTCTATTTTAGGATATTAAATTCTCCGAGTGCTCCTTGAATGAGCGTTGATGCTACGGCTTTTATTATAAGGTTTTCTGATTGGAAATTTTTATTTAATAAGAAGATACATTTGCTGCAATCTTTCACCGAAGGAGAGTATATTTCTCTAATTTTATACTCCCTTCCAAAATGAGTTAGCTTAAGATTGTCTTTTTAATAACACAAGATCTATTTAAAGTGTTATCCAAGGATCTGAACTGATTTGAGATTATAAGTGATGTATATTGCTCTCCTCTATCCTCTTTCTTGTACTGCTTCAAAAGAAAATTATAACCCAAATTGATGAAATGAATTTTGGAACCAATCGTGTTGTCAACTCTGTTTTCAGTTGAGCACAGGGGCTCAATATTCCATAACTGAGGTCAAGACTCAGATAGGTGCACTTCAAAGAACAGCAAACACAAGTTATTCCACATTCATGGACGGTGAGATTTAGATTTTAAACTTTAAAATTTGATAAAAAATCATTAGAATTCTTTTACTTAGAAAATTAAATAGGAAAAAGAAGAAGTGGGCAACTCAGTTATGGAATATTGAGAAAGTTTAGTTGATCGATAAATAGTTTAAGTTGCGGCTTTAAGCTTTTCTACCCAGCCCATTCCTCAACCTAATCCATAGCCGTTCCTTCTGAAGACACTTCTAACAGTTTCTGATTCCTTGATAACAATCCATGATTGTATTGGATCAAATCCAGACTTACATTCGCAATCAGAGCACTTTCTTCTAAAGATATTCTCCTAGAAGTTCTTCTCCAATATTTTCATGGTTCTGGAGGAAACCAAAGAAAACCAGGTGGTAAATATTGATGTTTCCAATTCATGGGCTGAAATTGTAGTTTAATTTGGTGCTTGTCATTTTGCTTTATCATTGGCTACCCTTTTTCCTTTTTCCTGATAAAGAACTTGAAAAATAAAACTGTGGGTGTATAGTATGAATAAGAATATTTTTAATGGTAATATTAACCGTGTTTATACCTAATTTCATGTTTAACTATTAGCAATATTGAATATTTTCTTATGAGCCCATGGGAATCATGAGTTTATCTAGAAAACAGGGCTGGCTAGGAGATATTCACTACCCCACCCTCCCTTATCAAAACAAAAAAATTAAAATAATAAAAAATTCATCTTTGAACGTACTTTTGTACTAATTCTTTTAATAATGCATAATATTTTATTGGGGAATATTGATCATTCCTGGACTACATAAGTCCACAAAGTGGTGGAATTATTTATCCTAAATGGGAATCTGGGATATTTAATAAATGCTGGAAGGACGGATCCGCATTCGGATCCTTATTCTAGACGTGACAAGTCTTCAAAGTATTAAAGACGGAGGAAAGATTAATTTTAAATAATTTATTAGTTATCCTGAAGGTTCCATTCCTAATTTAATCGCATACTTATGTCATCATTACTTGTTTTTAAATGCCATTTGTTTCTCTCAAATAATATAATGCTACAAACCGTCACAGTTATTGATAGGAATTGATGTTATCAGACCGGTCACAATAATAAAGCTCTGGGAGATATTGTAAGAAAGAGTCCAATTGCAAGCATCGGAGTTTGTCTGTTACATGAGTGAAATGGACAGCCCTTATTTTTATAGATGAGATCTTCTTAAAAATGTTCAGTACTAAAAGCTTGATACAATAGGATAATAATTTTAACTGTTGGAATTACGAAATAAACAGCTCAAATTTGCTGAAATTGAGAAATGGAAGAAGTTTAGAAATGGAGAAAACCCATCATCTCTAATTGTAAGGGGGAGGAGGGGTTCCACTTAATGCAAGGGAAAGAATTATCAACAAATGATGCAACAATTAGGGGTCTAAGATAAGTGTGGTGTTAGTCACATCGGATTAAAAAACTAGTTAAAGCAAACAAAAGGGGCTTGATACTAGAAAATGACATCTTGGTATTGCAAGGATGTGCACTTGGCACGCAACAGCAACTTTGGAGGAGGAAAGCATGTATGCAAAAATTTATTGTTTATGAGGTGGGAGTTCATAAAACCACAAAGTTCAAGTTGGCTTAATTATTTCATTTTCTACTAGTCATGCATGAGTACCCAAGCACAACATAAAATCTAAAGTAGGGGTGATGGTTTTCTTGGTTGATGTTGTTTTTTTCAGAAGACCAAAGACCATAGAAGCAAATCGATACCCATGTAAAAGGATAATTCTCATCAAAGTACTAATAAACAAAGACTTGTGATGACCATAACACAAAATGTTCATTTCATTAGCATGTTCTAACAACCGAGGCACCTGGAAAATTAACATTATCTTTTGTTGCACATCTAAATGACATCATCTGATGATTGATGCAGAAGCTGGCACAAAGAATCTTTAATTTAACTTAAATTAGTGTATAAAGAAAAAGTAACTCATTTTACATTGGATAGGACAATCTCTAGGTAGAAGTGGCCAAGGTGATCATACAACAATTTTTTATGCTTTTAGTATCTCAATTGTAAGAAATCATTGGGATTTTTGCTATTCTGAATCAATATTAATATGTTGGTGCAACACTGAATTAATGAATTAGATGCTAGTATTAGTTTGAATATTTATAACTCTTTCTCATTGAGTGATTGATTGCTTAGAGTGGCCATGGGTCAGTGAAGGATTAGATCCTTGCTTGTAGAGGAATTTTGTTTCACAGCTTATAATTTGTGATACATAATTTAAAACGCATAACTTTTTATGTAATACTTTTTAATTGATTATTGTATAATTACAATAATCTTATCCAATAGGAAAGTTGGGGAAAGGAAAAGAGAGAATGAATGAATGAATGAAATAGAGAAAGAAGAAGAGGCCAATAGTACCAAACTAGTTGCCAAGATTGGCATCTGTCATGCCCTGACCTGGCACGTGATCAGCCGTTAAGGTTGATCTGCCAGTCCTAATAAGCCTTAGACCCACGTAGCTTATATAGAAGCAACCCATTAAATATTAATTTAATTTAGGTAGAATAGTTAATCATGAATCCATTAGAATTACAAGTCAAAAACCCTATCTGAATTAGTACATGGAGTAACTAGAGTACAAGTGAAGAATGTACACAAATTGCCCATGCCTCATAATTGCCGTAGCAAAACTGATACTCACTCACTCAGAGTGATCAGTATTTAAGTAGAGCTGCAATTTGGAAATTGAGGAAAATGGGTGAGTATAGATTCAGTGAATGATATTGTTATTCTAACATATAGGAACATGTAGAGTAACAAAACAAGCACATATTATGCCTCAAGTATCAAACCATAGTTTATCAGAACAAAAATCCAAAAATCAACACATGTTAAGTAACTATATATTGCAAAATCATCTCACGACAGCCATCACATGTCGAAGGTACTAGAATCACAATAACAGTATATCACCAAATCGCATCTCGTATATGATCCCATATCAGAGCTAATATCGGAATCACAAAAGGCATATAGTGTCAAAACACTATTATATTCATTAGAGTTTAAAACACAGAACTCTCTAGACATGCAAGTTCAGAAAACATGAGTTTGACAGAGGCATAATTATTTTAATACCAAACATTCCATAGAGTTTAACAAAGATATTGTATGTCCCGAGTACTTTTAGAAATCATAACCTAGATTGACAGATGAGGGGGTGATAGAATTTTAAAAAACTTGCACAGAGAAACCCCCCAAATGAAGACTCAACCCACTCACGCATCCCAAAACATCATCCTTATTCCCTTAATTGGGACCTGCCATCGCCTAACTCCATTTCATGTAAAAACCTGAACCCAAGGTGGACCGGCCTCCAATTCCCATGAACTAGCTTAAACAAACCTCCATTTCGCATAAATAAACGGCCTAACTCGATCTCCAATACCCATGAACCAGCCCTC